CGGCTTGTATCATGCAACTTTACACCCCTCGTGAACCCCCACGCACACATCTCCAACGAATATTTATTCCCGGCCTTTTTTTAGACGTGGAGCTGATATAAGCAAGCCGGACGTGAGGCTGGCGTACGTTGACGGTAATTTGAATTTTTTTAAAATCTATTTATTTCTTGTAAGTGAAAAATTATATAGATTTCTTTTCTGTTTTATTTTCCTTTAAGCGTTTGTATTCAATTTAAGCGCATAAATTAGTTTAAAAAATGCCTGTGCTCAAGTCGAAAGCTATAATTGATAAGGATACCAACCCACTTTTAAAAACTCAAAAATAATCGTCTTTATTAAAGTGATCCCTGCAGTTACCAACAATTAATCAAGGAACAATGAACGCAATAATTTTCATAATCCCGTTTTATAGCAATTTATATATTTTTACTTTTATGTGTAGATTCTCCCAGATAGAAATATAAATCTAGGCAAATAACGTTAATTTTTTCGGCCGATTTTAACCGAATTTTGTTAATACATAAAGAACACAATATTAAATAAATAAACCAAATTTCATCTGGTTGCGTTTTATAGTTGACGAGATATTACAAAGTACATTTATTTATTTTATACTTTTTTTGTGTAGGTCTCTCTGATAGCAAAACAAATCACGGTACCTTCATTAATTTGAACCGCTTTTTACTAAATTTCGTCCATACATTAAGCATAAACTATTACTTAAACCATATTTCATCTGGCTATGGTTTATAGTTCTCGAGATATTACGAAATATGTTTTTATTTAGGTTCCCTTAGATACCATAAGAAATCACGGCATCTGGCTTCAATTCCTTTTAGGCTACTTAAACCACTTATTGACCATACATTGGGGATTCAGTATTAAATAAATAAACATTATTTAATCTGCTTATGTTTTATAGCAATTGAGATGTTGACAACATCTCAAGTTTTATGTAGGTTCCCCAGGTAGTAAAAGACACGGCATCTAGCTTCAATTTGTTTTGGCCGATTTCAACCAAATTTTGTTAATTAAAGATACAAAATTAAATAAATAAAGTAAGTTTCATCCGGTTATGTTTTATAGTTCCTGAGATATTGCTGACTCTATTTTTTATATAGGTTATATAGGTTCGCTCAGTTTAAAAAAGAAATCTCGGTACCTTGCTTCAATTCTTTGTAGTCGATTTAAACCAAATTTTGCTTATACATTGAGGTTACAATATTAAATAAACGTTCCAAGTTTCATTGGGTTATTGCCTATAGTTCCGGAGATATTTTCAAGCATAATCCTGTATGTGTATTCTCAAATGGAAAAAAATCCTGGTCATTCCTGTTGACCAATATTAACCACTTTTTGTGCATACTTCATCTACAATACTGAATTCACAGACCATGTTTTGTTTGGTTATATTTTAAAGATGAGAAATTTCAAATTATACATTTAGGTTGTATGTTGTATAGATGCTTAAAAATGAAAATAATCAATAAATAATTAACACGGATATTTCATCAGTTTATCGTTTTTTTCTGTCATTACAGGTTGATGTACATTTTCAAATCAAATGCACACAGGAAGAAAAATTCTGCCGAAAAAAATTGATTACATAAACACTGAATTTGTGACCAGTCGGCGGGGAAAACGGAAATAAAAGGGATAAAATTCATCGACTGAAAGTCCTTAAAACGAGAATAAACATTTAGTTTATCGTTAAATTAAAATCGGGGATAAAATACCAGGGGGCGCATAAATAACGCTTCGGCGAACTTCATCCGGCTGTTGTTTGGCTCCGCCGAAAAATGGCTGTTTATATTTGTGTTGGTCGGAGCCCCCGGATCGTTTCTAATGAGGGGAATGTTAACCCGGTCGACGACCCGAAACGTCCTGATAAAGCCTGATAACTGCAGTTTAATTCTAGAAGAGGCCAACGCCGCCGCCGCCGCCGGTTGCAAAACAAGGTGGTTGTCGGCTTGATACCGAGAAAAAAGGAAAACTGAAATAATGTAACTACTGCAATGTACCAAAAACAAATGGCCAACGGCAGTTCAATATTAGTTTTTAACAGCATTTTGATGCAGGCGGTTTTAATCTCATTTTTTAAACTACAAAATGACGTTTTAGCAGTGAGAAAAGAGAAATATTTTCACTTAGCTTGACATTTAACCCTTTTATTTATTCGATTCAATTTGTCAAGCTAATAGTCAATTTATAATGAAGAGGGATGTTGTTTTAGAACAACAATTCTGTCTAATGAAAAAATAGTGTTGTTTTATAGCATCTTGAAGAATAAAAATCAAATGTTGTCTTCAGAGATAGAAAAAGTAAAATATTGCACTTCATTTAACAAAGTGATATTTATCCCTTTACTATATGAAGAAAATGTTTAAATTCAATTGGCTGAGACAATAGTCAATTTAAAATGAAGTGGAGTCGGTTTTAAAATGTCAATTGTATAAAAAAGTGAAGATTTTGCACTTCTGATATCAAATGTCATCTTCATACTTAGGAAAAGTGAAATATTTGTCAAAAAAAGTATTCCCTTTATTTCATGAAGAAAATATTAAATTCAATGGGCGATGTCAATAGTCAATTTATAATGAAGAGGAATGTGGTTTTAGAACTAATTCTATTTAATAAAAAGAATATTGCTTTTTAGTATCTTGTAGATTAAATGTCGTCTTCACTCATAGAAAAAGTGAAATATTTCGCGTAATTTTCCAAAAAGTGATATTTAACCTATTACTTTATCAAGAAAGTATTAAATTCAATTGGCCAAGTTAATAGTCAATTTAAAATGAAGAGGAAGTTGGTTTTAAAACGACAATTGTATCAAACAAAAACAGAATGCAGATTTTACAATTTTGATATCAAATGTCATCTTTATACTTAAGAAAAGTGAAATATTCCACTTTATTTGTCAAAAATATTCACTTTATTTCATGAAGAAAATATTAAATTCAATGGGCCAAGTCAATAGTCAGTTTATAATGAAGAGGAATGTGGTTTTAGAACTAACTCTATTTAATAAAAAGAATATTGCTTTTTAATATCTTGTAGATCAAATGTCGTCTTCACTCATAGAAAAAGTGAAATATTTCGCGTAATTTTCCAAAAAGTGATATTTAACCTTTTACTTTATCAAGAAAGTATTAAATTCAATTGGCCAAGTTAATAGACAATTTAAAATGAAGGGGAAGTTGGTTTTAAAACGACAATTGTATCAAACAAAAAGAGAATGAAGATTTTACAATTTTGAGATCAAATGTCATCTTCATACATAGAAAAAGTGATATATTTCACTTTATTTATTTGACAAAAACGGATTTTGAACACTTTATTTCATGAAGAAAGTATTAAATTCAATGGGCCAAGTCAATAGTCAATTTATAATGAAGAGGAATGTAGTTTTAGAACAACAGTTCTATCTAATAAAAAGTATATTGTTTTATAACATCTTGGAGATCAAAAGTCGTCCTCACACATAGAAAAAGTGAAATATTTCACTTCATTTTCCAAAAAGTGATAATTAACCATTTACTTTATGAAGAAAGTATTAAATTCAATTAGCCAAGTTAATGGTCAATTTAAAATGAAGGGGGGAGTTGGTTGTAAAACGTCAATTGTATCAATCAAAAAAGAGTGAAGATTTTGCATTTTTGAGATCAAATGTCATCTTCATACATAGAAAAAGTGATACATTCCACTTTGTTTGATAAAAGTGATACTTTAATTCACGAAGAAAGTATTAAATTCAATGGCTTCAATATTCAGTTTATAATGACGAGGGATGTGGTTTTAGAACAACAATTTTATCTAATAAAAAAGTGAATTTTTGCAATTTGTACGTCAATTGATGACCTCACGTATAAAAAAATTAAAAAATTGCCCTTCAATTCATAAATATCTAATTTTATGGAAACATCTTCTTTCCCATATAGTATCGTCTTCGTATAAACAAAATAAAATATGTCGTTTTATTTCGCAAAGAATTGACACTCAGCGGTTTTATAAAGAAAACAAGAATATATTTTCCATTTGAAGCACAAACATTTTTTTTTAAGTTGAAGAATACGTTTCTCACATCTATTATTTAGTGGTAACACCTCACATAAAAATATAATAAATAAAAAAAGTATAATAAATCAAACCATTATAAAATTAATATAATATAAAATTAACAAATTTACGAATTTAATAAAAAATTATTTACGAACAATAAAATAGATTTTGGTGTTTTATTTTGTAAAATAATTTCAAATCTTCTAAATTGTTAAATTTAAATGTGATGAATAAATCCTGCATCAGAATATTGCTGTACTTATGAGGAAGGGATGGTCAACCTTTATTCTAAGACAGGTGTTGAGATGGGGAGTTGATGTCCGAGTGGATCGAAGTCACGATAGCTCAGGTGGGAGAGCAGCGGCGTATCAAGCCGAAGGTCGTGGGTTCGAATCCCTCTCGTGCCATTAACTTTTTTTTCATCTCAACTAAAAACCTTAATTAATTGTAATGTTTAATTGGTCAAGGGAACTACGAAATTAGTGACTTTATTCTAAGTTTATTTTGTATTATAACCTGATAGAAATAAAATTTTCGTAGTTCCGTTATTGTTTTCTGTTTATTCAGATTTTCTGATTTTCTGTCTTTCAAGAGCAATGATTTCCAGAAAAATCCAGTTTGTGCAACTTTGATCGAAAAATTGACCGTGTCCTTCAAAAATTTACTAAATATAGAGACTTAGCCACAGGCCATGTTTTTTCCTGCCAGTTTAAAAGTGTAGCAATTGCTTTATACGTTTAAAAGAAAAAAAACTTTACATTATATACAGAAGATTAAACAAGTTATGAAATTTGTTTTTTGTTTGTTTTTTTTGTTGAAAAATTAGATTTTTAAAAAATGTTGCAACTTGATAACTATTGATCTAATGAAATCGAGTTGGAAATTCCCCCCCCCCAAAGTTATTTTTTAGTAAATACCCTTTTTGTTTTTTTGCGTTGCAGGGTAGAAAGCGGACACTCACCATGCCCCAGGGCTCACCATACGCCCCGAAGACCCCTCGAGCTCGTCTTCACCGGATTGACCGTTTCCGTGGACAAACGGCCCATCCTCAAAGATGTCTCCGGCTTCGTCAAACCGGGCCAACTCCTCGCCGTCATGGGACCCTCAGGTACAGGAAAAAACACGTTTTAACGGAATTTGAATAATTTTGTTAACTTAATTTAGAGCCTGGGCTCCCAACAGGTCCAAACAGGTCAGATCGCGCAATTCCGTCGGGTTAGAATGTGCCTATGTCGTCGATAAACTGGACCGCCGATTCCCATTTGTTGCTTTTCAGTGTGACAAGTTTTTAGCTCCAGAATAAGACCGTTCAAGGCCAAACTGCCGAAAAAAAATTATATTTAAGTGATACCAAATTTCGTCCTCCTATTTACCACGATTATATTTTAGTCCTCATCGAATAAGATTATCCTCTAACCGGAAACAAAATTCTACGATAACAAAGCATGAGACACCCCAATTTTAAGTCAATCACACCCTAGTTTTCCTTTGATCATATTGACTGATTTTCTTCGTTCTAAAATGCTGCTATTGGGTTGTCCGGAAAATAATGCAGGATTTTGGTATTAAACAAAAAAAAAGAAACTAGTTACTTTAAAGCAATGTTCTTTAATCAAAATAATTTCCCATACTCTCAATACATTTCTCCCAACGTGTTGGTAACTTATTAATTCCGTCTGAGTAGAATTCAGAATTTTTAGAATTGATAAAGTCAATAAATGCATTTTCCAGTTCCGTTTGATTTTTGAATATTATGTGTTGTAAGTAGTGGTCCAGGTGTCTAAAAAAATGGTAGTCAGTAGGCGAGAGGTCCGGAGAGTAGGGTGGGTGAGGCAAAGTTTCATAGCCAAGCTCCAATAATTTTTGTGACGTTACACGTGACACATGTGGTCGAGCGTTGTCATGCAACAAAATGGGCCCTTTCCGATTGACCAAAGAGGGCTTCATTACTGCCAATTTCTGATGCATGGTATTAATTTGGTTACAGTATGATTCAGCATTGATGGTTTCGCCAGGATTTAAGAAGCTGTAGTGTATTAAACCAAATGAAGCCCACCATACCGTAACCATTACCTTTTTTTGATGAGTTGGGGGCTTTGGAAAATGTATTGGAGCTTCTCCTTTGTCGAGCCACTGTCCAGAACGTCTAGTGTTATCGTAGAGAATCCACTTTTCGTCACATGTAACAATTCTGGCCAGAAATGGGTCATTTTTGTTTCGACAAAGAAGTGATGCACAAACATCAAAGCGCTGATTTTTTTGGCGATCGTTTAATGAGTGTGGAACCCAATTTTCGAGTTTTTTCACTTTTCCAATCGCCTTGAGGTGGTCAGCGACGGTCGTTTTACTGACTTTGAGTTGCTCTGCAAGTTCTCGAACAGTTGTTTTGGGGTTTTCTTCCACCACTGATCGCAGAACATCATCATTAAGAGAGGAAGGCCTTCCACGACCTTCTTCATCTTCAAGGCTGAAATCTCCCTCCCGAAATTTTTTAAACCACCTTTGCACAGTGCACTCATTAACACAACCCTCGCCCCAGACTTGGTTAATGTTTCTAGCCGTTTGGGCTCCGCTTCGGCCGAGTTTAAACTCGTAAAAGAAAATCGTACGAAATTCTCGCTTTGACATTATAAGGATGACTGAATTATTTCCAAGTAGCGGAATGCTACAGAGGTAAACAAACAATATCATTTGGAAGAGGATTGAGTAATCCTGTAAACGTAAACAGAATATTTTATATAGATTTTTTTTAATGAAAACTTAAAATCCTGCATTATTTTCCGGACAACCCAATAATATAGAAATGATTTGTAAAATATCAAGTTGGCACGTACATAAAAGCTGTCACAAGTTCGATCTTTCTGGGTTTTTTTTGTTTTATTTTTTTATTATTTTATTTTTTTATTATTTTTTTTATAAATATAAAAGTAGAATTATAAAAGTCACAAGCAAATATAACCTATGAGTTTTTCTTTAATTACTTCTGCTGTCTTGTCCCTCCTTTTTGGTTTTGTGTGATTTTAACAAGATCAAAATTGAATTGAGATACATCAAATGAGTTGATACCTAAGACATTAATTCAATAACACAAGTATGGATTTTATCAGAACTGACATTTTGAGACAAAAATAAAACGTTTAATGAGGTAAAAAATATAATTTGTAGAGCCGTCAGAGATCATTTAATGTTTTAAGCATTGCTTTCAACATGTACGCCATGTTTTAAAATTTAATCAGTTAAACAATTATTTCTTTAATATTAGATTTGTCAAAGGTCATTTACATTTCTAATAGTTGCAGAGTCCTCTCCTACGTTTAGTGAGCAAAAAATGTATTTTTTTATTACTAGAGCTGTCAAAGATAATATTTCAGTGTCGCATTAAACGAACACACTTTAATCATTTGGTTTTTTCTACCTTTAAAGCAACAAAAACAAGTGTATTTCTTTAAAATATAGCTGCCAGATAACATTTTTTATATACCTTAAACAGGAACACATTATCTAATCGTTCGTTTTTTAAATAAATTTAAACAACTAAAAAAAGTGTTTCTTTAAAATATAGCTGGCAGATAATTTTGTTTTTGGGGTGTTAAACTGTAAAATACACTCTAGCCGTTAGTTTTTTTTTTATAAGTTGAAAGAGCTAAAAAATTATGTTTTATACTACTAGAGCTGTCAGTGTCGCATTAAACGAACACACTCTTTAATCATTTGTTTTTTTATAACTTTAAAACAACAAAAACAAATGTATTTCTTTTAAATATAGTTGCCTGATAACATTTTTATGCGTGTTAAACACGAACATATTATTCGTTCTTTTTTTCAAATAAATTTAAACAACTAAAAAAAGTGAGCTGTCAAAGATAATCTTTCAGTGTCGCATTAAACGAACACACTTTTTAATAATTTGGTTTTTTCTACCTTTAAAACAACAAAAACAAATGTATTTCTTTAAATTATAGCAGCCAGATATATATATATTTTTTTTTTTTTTGCGTCAAACTATAGAACAACTTAACGTTTCGTTCGGTTTTTATAAGTTTAATGAACAAACAAATGTTTTTTAATTTGTTTTTTTCTACTAGAGCTGTTAGAAACCATCTGTCAGTATCGGATTAAACAAGTACTCTTTTTAGTTATTAGTTTCTTATAAGTTTAAGCAAATGAAAATGTGTGTTTGTTTAATAATATATCCACCAGATTTCAAACCTCTTTTAAATGTTGATTTAAATACGATCAACTTCTCTGTTGGGTAGTGTTTTTAGTGTTTTTTTAGGTTTCAAAACTAAACGAGCGTCTTTTTTGGATGAGATGACAGAATTGACATTGGTTTTTACTGTCGTCTTGAAGTCATTCATTTTTTATATGTTTAGTTGAGCTAAGCAAAGTATTTTTTTATTATTATTACTAAGGCACACCTTCTAGTATTTAATTTTTCCTCTAATTAAATTAAAAAATAAGTGTTTTAAGACTACACCTGTCAGATAAAATATCGTGTTTAGGTGTCGTTTTAAACACGAACACACTCACTAGTCATTAGTTTAGAGCACTAAAATCCTATATATCTTCACTACTAGCTGTCAGTGATAATATCTCGTTTAAGTGTCGTTTTAAACAGGCTCTCTCTATTCATTGGCTTTCATTTTAAAATCACAACTCTCTAGTCGTGAGTTTTTTCAAGTTTAATGAACCGAAAAAAACGTACTTCTCTGCGAGTAAAGCTGTCAGAGATAATATCTGTTTAAAGTGTCGTTTTAAAACACGAACTAGTCGTTAATTTTCTTATAATTTTTTCCACGAGTTTATTTCTCGAACAGTTATTATCTATATCAAGTGTTGTGTTATCAAACTATCTCTCGTCAGAATGTCGTCAGGGGTTTCATCACTAGTACAACTTTCCGCTCAGAACTGTTTAACGTGGAAGTCGACCCTTGGCCCAAAATCGTACACTTTCCGGAATGAGGAAATTGGGACGAGGGCTTTAATAAAGACGGAGTCAAATCCCTCGTTCCCGGAGACTGTGTGGGTGGTAATGAAGGCACTTTCTATTCAGGATGTAAGGAGGTGACCCAAGATGAGAAGATGACCCTTTATTGAGGGTGTCGACCCCGGAAGAGGGATGCATTAGATTGGCCTAGGACAACTCGAGAACGGTTAAATAGACCACTCAACGTCCATTTACCATTAACCCGGGGCAATTAGTTTTGTACCTTTTGACTTAGGGAAAGCTGGGGCACAATTTCCGGCCCTGGAGAGCCCAATTTTGCGTTCGATTATTGGAAGCGGAGAGTTTGCAAAATAGCGATGTTCAGATATTTTGAAAATACGTGAAAGGGTTCCGGTTTTGAAATAGTCTCGTCAGCCCCTCTCTTCTTTTCTTCCTATTCATAACATAAAAATCATATTTATTATTATTTCAATGAAGATTCGTTAAAATGTAATTCTTAATTCTTTCACTTATGGTCTTCAGAAAACAAAAGACAAAAATTTTGCTTTAAATGCTGATTTGGTTAATCTTTTTATATTTTGTTTTATTCTTCGTGGTTAAAGCTTTTCTCAAACGTTATAAAAGTAACCGAAAAGTATTTTCCTTAAAAATATATCAAACTTGGTTACGAGAAATTGGACTTTACTATTTGGCATCGGCCTGACAAGAATGTAGACGCCACTGTGCTTTTTCAAATCTTAAAATGTCTTTTATCGATTAAATAGCCGACTTGCCCGGAAATCCTGGTTTCAGAAAGACAGCGTAATCGAAAGGACTTGTCCGAAATTCGGCCTGACAGTTAATCGATGGACTATTGTAGTCTGGAAGTGAACAACTTCTAAACGTCATCTCGAAAGATATCTGTCGGTTCTGGAAGAACAAGGGGGAGGGAAAACGATTTTACGACCAATAGGTGACAAAAAGCCAATCGATGGCGATAAACTGAAGGGAAAAGTCAAAAACTTACAAAATCGTTGTATATTTTTTATACCTGGAGTACTTCTCATTAAAAACTTGTGATGTTTAAATCACAAACTTTTTATCTGATAAAAGTTTTCTTCATCTGTCTTTAACTGCCTTATTTTGAAGCCAATTGCAATCATAGAATTAATTTTTAAATT